GAAAGTGGAGACTTTATATTGCAAGATTATTTCCTGCCCCGGAGCAACAGTCCTCTTTCCAAGGCTCTAAAGTATAGAAACTGGTTCCATAATGTTAATTTTTTTGCTATATTGTCTTGTTTTCACTCAATGTAAACATTTTTAAGATACATGGTGTTTGATGAGTCTACTTGTTGCTGCTCTCCCATTAGTACTAGGCATTGAATTCCTCTCCTCTTACATTTCCCTCCCCTATCCCCTTATTTCTCTTTTTTTTTCGTCCTCTTTTCCAACAATAACTTGTGAAGACTTACAGCACATTACAATGCATTATATTACATAGCATTGCACGACACATTACCTTATTATCTTCTCTGGCTCTTCGGTGCTGACGTCGCTGTCTTCCTGGGGAAGTGTTACTATACCCACCCTCCTCCCCCCTTTCTTTTTCTCCATCCCTCCCCCCACTCTTCTAATTCCAGTTTTCTTGTTCCATTTCCTTCCCGTTCCTTCCTTTCTATTTTTTTTTCTAGTCTACATACATGATATTTACCTTCACCTTCAACTCCAGTCTCATTAATGGCTATTAGACAACATATCGTTATCCATCTTTCTCCCAACATCTTTCATCTATGTATCCACATCATTTTTACATCTACTCTCCCACTCAGTAGTGGCCCCCAAAAACACAACATCTTTCTTAATTCCTATAGCTCTTCTACGGGTTCTTTTTCTTATACTGAAAACTATAAGTGCATATCCTCCTCAACTCAGGGGTCACCTAAGTGTTCCTATTGGTTCACTATACTTTACTGCCTTGATTAAACTGTCTGTAAATTGTCAATTACGCTATGTTGCCATGCTAACCCTTCGACAGTGAACGTTGGTTGATGTTATGTCAACAATAAACCAAATAAAGTTTCTTTTAAAAAAAAGTAAATTCAAAGGACCCTAAAACTTCATCCAGATCTGTAAAATCGAATGAAGATTTTCAAACAAAATTCTACTGGCATTCTGCCAGCTTAAGACTTCCCCCTCAAATTCCCAGTCCTGGCCTGGCCTACTGTGTCTTAACACTTGACCCATAACTTCTAACACCCAAACCACACTCTGACATATAACCACACAGTTAAACTGAACCTTGAACATTTAACTTCCACCTAAAACCTTAACCACAATTGTAATCCCAAACCGTAAGCTAAACCCTCCAATCCTTGACCCCTACATAAAGCCTTACAACCATTTTCCAACATTTATAATTATAATTGCACAAATCAAGAGTTGGTATTTAGAGTGCCAAGAATCAAAACAAGACTATTCCACCATGAATTAAAGCCACATCCTGTGCTAACCTCAGATTTGTCTTATTGGAAAAGATGTAATTATAAAGTTTCATCAGACATTTTGACCTGGACATTTTGGCTGCCAGTAATACAGTTAGTTTAGTCTCAGTGGGTACAGTCAAGCAGCAAAAAGGTAGAAATGTGACATTTCTTTTTGTTTTAGTTCAAGGCAGCACAGATATGTCCCACCATTTTTCTTTTTTGTTTTTTTTTTCTCTTCTTCTCCTAGTTCAGTGGTGGGCAACCTTTTTTTTCAACTGAGCCAAATCTCGCCAAAACCACGATTGAAATTTATTTTGAGAGCCACCTTTTTAAAACTGAAAATACATAGGATGGTACACTGTTTTTAGTTTCAATAAGTTTTTATAGTAATTCATCCCCCATAGTAATTCATCCCCCATATAGTAATTCATCCCCCATATAGTAATTCATCCCCCATAGTAATTCATCCCCCATATAGTAATTCATCCCCCTATAGTAATTCATCCCCCTATAGTAATTCATCCCCCCTATAGTAATTAATCCCCCCTATAGTAATTCATCCCCCATATAGTAATTAATCCCCCCTATAGTAATTCATCCCCCATATAGTAATTCATCCCCCATAGTATAGTAATTCATCCCCCATAGTAATTATCCCCCATAGTAATTCATCCCCCCTATAGTAATTCATCCCCCCCCCCATATAGTAATTCATCCCCCATATTAATTCATCCCTCATATAGTAGTAGTAAGTAAGTAGCAAGTAGTAAGCCAAGTCCCCCCTGTGTCAATTCACTTACCTTTGCTCCGTGCGTTCCTCTCGCCGTGTTCCCGCGCCGTTCCGGTCTTCAGGGCTGACTGTGAGAGGAGCCTAGCTCCTCTCACGTTCATCACGCTGCCCCGCCTACACACATCCTGACAGCCCAATCACTGGCTATCAGGATGTGAGTGGCAGCGAGACTGGCCAATCATTGCATTTGAGCGCGCTGCCCTGGCTGTTTTTTTTTGGATCACGCTGCAGAGTCCCTGCCGCCCGAGTGGAGGGAGGGGAGCGGGCGCCGGCACACAAGAGCCGCATTAAAGCGTGTAAAGAGCCGCATGTGGCTCGCGAGCCGCGGCTGACCACTGTCCTAGTTGCATCCTCTGTTATGATAACGCAATTTATATCAAATACAATGCTATTGGAAAAAAGTACATTAATGTTAACGTCAGGCTCCATTATGTGCTGTAAATAAGGTAGACCAGGGTAAGGAATGTGTGGTTGGTGAAGTAAGAAATTCAGGGTGTAACATTTGATAATATAATAATAACTTCCCAAAAAAAAAATCTCTATTTAACAAATACAATTTTAACAATTTTTTCTTTTTAATAGTGGCAATCACATCCAAAGCTCAGTCCATTCAATGGGACAGTAAAGTCTTGTCTGGTTTGACTCATCTTCAAGCACTCCATCCATCAAGTCCATGGAATTGCATTGTTGATCAGGAGGTTTATTCAAACATCTGTTTTGTCTTTGTAATAAAATTAACAGATCTGAAATGTCATTTCTACTGCAGACTCAAAGAATTTATACTTACAAATACCATGCCCAAGCCCCTGGGGAACACCCAGAAACTGCCAATACACAGTGAGAAGATTTTGCATGCTGCACAACATGGCAACCTCACCATAAGCATTGACGGCAAAAAGCTTAGAACTACAGCATAGTTCACACTAACTAGAGACGAAGATCCCTTCAGACGAAGTCCAGAAGTGACGAAACGCATTAGGGGAGTGAAGTCAAGCACACGTACGTAGACCGGAAGTGCCGCCGCGGCCATTTTGTTGGTTTTCTACACATGGTTGCATGCCTATAGTGTTTGAGAGAAAAAAGCTTGGAACCATGTCTGGAGCTGATATTTTTGAATACAATGCTATGAATAAAAAAGTTATCCCTATGCTTTGAATACTAGTCCTGAGACCCTTCTTATCTTTCTGAGGACCTTTTAAAAAACTTCTTTGAAGAGAATGTGGAGGAATATTGTTTTTCATAATATTGTTTGAGCATTTCAATACTCATAGAGGGTAATAGTATTTAGTAGTACTGTGTGTTGGTTGATGGAGACACTGAATTGCAGTGACCACAGAGTGCTCACAGTTTGATTTGTGTGATTAAATGCACTATAAGAAAATAATTTGGATTTGAATACATATATATATAATTTTTTTTTTTTTTGCACAAAAGTGTATTTTGAAGTGTATTTTGGTTGCACGGGGTGATTATTGCTATTATTTATTATTTATTATTAATAAGGTAATGCACTAGATATTATTATTTTTTTTTACTTCGAGGTGCGTTTTGGATGAAATAGGAGTCAATCCTTTTATTGGATGAAAAGAGTGGAAAATTTTGGGATCTTTGTGGACACTATTTTGTACTTTTTTTTTTTGGACATCTTTTTGATCAGTTGGACTTTATTGTATATTATATGTTTAAAATTAATTCATTTTTTTATTTTACTTAATTTATTTCTGCAATTCACAAAAAGGTTTTATATGTATTAACTAGTACAGTCAGCATCCCCTGTTAATTATCTCTAACCTTGCCTTCAAACTTTTACATTTAAAAATTGTTAAATACAGTATTTGAACCCAAAAATGCAATTATATATTAACTAAACAAGTAATGTATTTGTAATTATTGTTAGTATAAGTACCCCAAAATCTGTATTTGTATTATGTTTGCACACTATCCTAGTGTAATGGTACCTTGTATGTGATTTATCGTGCCAAAATTGTTTTTGCACTGGGAGCCCTGGGAGCGCGCACCACCGCGATCCGGTGCCCGTGTCCTCCGGACACAGTGAAACACCGATCGTCGGACGGGACCTCTGTACGAGGTCCCGATCATGTGATCACTGATTGTCGAATCAGTGATCACATGCAAAGTAGTAAGCAAGATGTCACTATCATTGCTTACTACGTGTGAAATTTGTCACAGATCACATTGTTCACAACAGCCTTGTATGTGAAGCTGTACCACTCACCCAGTAAATCTGAATGCAGACTGAGAGAAAGAGAAATGATGTATATGTGTAAAAGCAATCAGTGTAAAAAAACAAAAAAATCTTCATCACCCTTACAAGTGTGACACTGTACTGCTAGGGTGACAGTATGTGAAAAAAAAAATAATAATAATAATATAAAAGAATAAAATGTGTAAAAAAAAAATGTTTAAAAATTATACTTTTTGGTTATAAACTAATTTGGATTTTTTTTTTTTTTTTTACAAAAAAAAATACGGAATAAATTTTGGCCAAGATTTTATGATGAAATATTATTTATTTGCAAAATTCTATTAAAAAAAACACTTTTTTTCAAAATTTTTGGACTTTTTCATTTACATAGTAAAAAACAATTAAAATCCCAGCGGTGAATGTTACCACCAAAAAAGAGGTCTCAAAAAAAATGGTAAAAAATTAAAACAGTATTGCATGACCGCGCAATTGTCATTCAAAGTGTGATAGCGCTGAAATAAAAATTGCCAGGAAGGGGGTCATTGTATCATTCTGTCTTCTTTTTATTAATGTTCTGCAAAGGAGGTTAAGGATAAAACAGATAAAGCCTTCATTGTACAGCTCCTCATGCACAGCATACATTCTAATCACACCATTGACCCTAGTATACAGACTAGTGATCTGTAACATTTCCATTATATTACTGATTTGAATTTTTACCATCTGAGATGTTATCCCAGTATGGTGACAAGAATTCATACTCTCCACGTTGAATTATCTGGAATAATTCTTCATGATTGCGTTCTGGACTCCGGAAAGGAGGAAAGCCAGATAGTAGTATGTACAAGATGACTCCGGTGGCCCACATGTCAACTTCTAAACCATAGCCTGTTGAATGAAATAAAGTATTATGTTGATTTGGCCACTATTTGTATGCATAAATAATTATTACCAGAAAGCTGCCCAACAATATGAAAATGCGTGTTTTCCAAACTGGACATAGAAAAATACATACAAACACGTACACATGGGCTTCTATCACTCACAAATTATAGCTTGTGAGAGATTCACTTTTAGTTAGAAGTTTCCACTATAGAAGAGATTTTAGTACATCATTTTCTGCAAACACATAAAATTAAACGAATGTACTAAAGAAATTCAGAATATTCACAAAATACATTATGTGAACATTCGCTTCACTTTTCCAGTCTTGTGCATTTTAAATAGGCAAACAGGGATTTGCTTTTCAGTAAACTGGGATTTGCCAGCTTTGCTCATGCAGTGTGAGGTATCTTGAGAAGTAGGGTCCTGTCCAGGGGCGGACTGACAACTCATGGGGCCCCCGGGCAATAGGGGATCATGGGGCCCCTGTGTCCTTGCCCAAACTAAAAAAAGCCTATGAAAAAGGTACCAGGGGCATCTCATGGGGCCCCCTACTAACCCCCTGGGCAATAGGGGATCATGGGGCCCCTGTGTCCTTGCCCAAACTCAAAAAAGTCTATGAAAAAGGTACCAGGGGCATCTCATGGGGCCCCCTACTGACCCCGGGCCCTCGGGCAGTGCCCGAGTTTCCAAATGGTCAGTCCGCCCCAGGTCCTGTCATAAATCGTCTTCATAAGAAGAGTTAAAAAGCTTTCATTATTTTGGACTCATACTTCTCCTAACTCAAGTTGGGGATGTCCTCTGGAAACAGATGGTGCTATGTGAAGCTGCCATTGTGGTCCATTGCAGTAAGGCTTGATGAAGGTATGGACTACTTGGAGGGTGCTTGTGACCAGAGTATGCTCAGGTATTGGCAGGTTCCAAGAGGTACCCTGTCCAAAGTGCCATGTAAATCCAGTGGACCATCCTTTGTTTGGGCAAAGAGTGCACCCCCATCACTTGTTTAGCGTTACATGTAAAGGTGCCAAAAACAACATTAAATACATTAAAATCATACTTTCATTCAATAAATGATAAAAATAAAAAAAGTATTTTACAAACATGTAATTACAGGCGAAAGATATACCATGTTAAAAGTTGTGTGGATATATCTCTGAATCAACACCCATTATATTATAAGTTCTTTCAATTTGATGTGTTTCACAGTCAGCTTTATAAGGTCAACAGAAGCAATATACATTCAAGCCAGTTGTGTGGTGAATGTCACATTCATGTGTGTCATGTCACATTCACCATACATTGGTTTTAACAATATATTGCACCTGACAAGGCTGATTATGAAACGCGTCAAATTTTAACACCCTACCTTTCTATTGGAGAAGCTGTATACAGAAATTGCCACAGTATAATTGAACTATATAGGACTATTATGTCCTAAGTTATACAACCATGTATACACAAATGGCAAATCATTTATAAATTAAAAGATTATTTATTCAGAGGTATATCCAAACCAGGGGCGGACTGACATACTCATGGGGCCCCCGGGCAATAGGGGATCATGGGGCCCCTGTGTCCTTGCCCAAACTCAAAAAAGCCTATGAAAAAGGTACCAGGGGCATCTCATGGGGCCCCCTACTGACCCCGGGCCCTCAGGCACTGCCCAGTTTCCAAATCGTCAGTCCGCCCCTGATCCAAACCATGTAATATAGTATATCTATCATTAATAATTACATGCATGAAAATACTTTTTATTTTTATCAACATGTATTGAATAAAACATGATTTAAATGTGTTTACTGCTGTTTTTGGCACTCAAAAAGTCCCATCTACATGACTATGCTTGATTTATAGTAAAAAGGGATGTGTGGTACCTTGATCACCAAATCAGTCTAACAAACGTGTTTAAATTGAATGTACACATGAAGGACATGCAGCCCAGCATATGGTTCTGACAAGGGATGCCCCGAAATTTCGGAGGCCGAAACGTTTTAGCCGAAAACACACCTTTCGGCCGTTGGCCGAAATGAAAAGATAAGCACCGATACAGGTGCCAAAAAAACGCCGCCGCCTCCCGCTGCTCGGTAGTTCTCAGCCTTACATGAGAAACCATTGATCCTGGTGCTGGGCATAGAGTTGAGTGAAGGAAAGATGGCCGCCATTCATCTTTATGCCCTTGGAGAACTGGAGCGATGTCAATTCCCGTTCTGTTTTTTTTTTTTTTTTTTAAAGCACTAGATCAATGCTTTTTTGATACAATGCTTTACATTGCAGAGAGGTATTATTGGCCCCATATCTCTCCATAAAAAGGACCTGTCACTAATTATTTCTATCACAAGGTATGCATGCATAAAAGAATAAGAGCGATTAAAATTTTTTTAAAAGGAACAGTGCAAAAAAAAAAAACATTAAATAAATAAATAAATAAAAAAGTTTAACGTGCCCTCGTCCCCCTGTTCTCGCACATAGTGGTGAATGCATACATAGGCCATGCCCACATATGTAAATGGTGTTCAAACCACACACATGAGGTGTCGCCACGAAATGTCAGAGCAAGAGCAATAATTCTCACATTAGACCTCCTCTGTAACTTTAAACTGCTAATCTGTAGAAATTTTTAAAGCATCACTCATGGATATTTTTAAGTATCGCAGTTTCACGCCATTTTACGAGCGTACGCAATTTTAAAGCGTGACATGTTGGGTATCTATTTACTCGCCGTAACATCCTCTTTCATATTTTACAATTGGGGTATATATTGTTTTGTTTTTGTTTTTTTTGTAATCAGTGTATTTTTTCCAAAAATATATATTCGTTTCGGTTTTCGGCCAAGTGCATTTTGAATTTTAGTTTTTAGGCACAAGAATTATCATTTTGGTTCACCACTAGTTCTGACATTCCACTGGTGAGAAAAAAATAATAATATGCCCACTTAGCACCAGTTCTGCAGGTAGAAATATCTTGTTGATGAGAGAGATAAAGGAAATGGCCAGACTGCTTTGAGCTGACAGAAACTATGGAGAGCAGAAGCGCATTCACAACACATTGCATCTTAAGGATGAAAGACAAGAACAGAAGACCAAATCGGGGTATACTCCTCTCAGACAAGAACAGCAAGATGATGCTGCAATGGGAAAAGACGTATCAAAACTGGACAGTTGCAAAGACATAAGTCATCTCAAACTGGTTTAATTAACATGACAGTGAGTTCAGTGGCTCTTCGTATGGCATTTGCACACAGTGCAGCCCCTCTCTGTTCAGCAGAAGATCCATTAGCAGATCCTCTGCTGAATAGGACAGATGTCATTTTTTTTTTACATCCATGCCTATTCAGTATTTTTTTTGTTTACAAACGGTTTTATTGTACGAAAGTAGACTGTAAAACAACAGTACATTTACAAATGATACATACAGCAAAAACAAGGCACTTTTGAAAAGTACAGTACAGAAAAAATATATTAATGTAAGAAAGAGAAGAAATAGAAAAGAGTAGGTTGCAAGTACATGAAATACATAGATGATAAGGTAGATTGAATGATATATCTGTCAACAGTATATGCCAGTCAACTTTCATTGGAATGTTGTTAATTATGCAATAAATGTCTATAATCCCTCCATGACTCCCATTTTTTATCAAATAAGTGCATCTTATCCAGTAGGGTATAATGAATGCGTTCCATGAGCATTACAGCATCTATTCTGTGTAAAAACGGAGGCCAAGGTTACAGAATTGGACCTCCAATGTAAGGCAATAGACCGTAAAGTGGCAATACAAATAGTATGTATTAATCTCATAATGGCATCAGAGACCCCCGGGATATGAGCCCCCAATAGACAGGTCTGTAAAGACAATCGTACCGGGGGTACCCACCAGTGAGGTAGTCACCTCAGATATCTTGCACCAAATCATAGATATGGTCAGGCAATCCCAAAATATATGAACCAGAGTGCCTGTGAGGCCACAGCCCCGGAAACATAAAGGGGACGTTTGTGGGAACAATACATGTAGTCTTGATGGGGTGTAATACCATCTGGTAAAACCTTGAGGGCCGTCTCACGAACAGAAAGAGATCAAGAACACTTACATATGTTATCCACCATGGAATCCCAATCCTCATCTGAAAAAGTGATACCACTATCCTCCTCCCATTTTTGTCTATATAGAGGGGGTGTATGAAAAAGGCAGATCAAAGATTGATGATAAAGATCAGAAATAAGACCCCTACCCCTAGGAGAGTCTCAGCTGATACGTTCGAAAAAGGAAATCGGAGAAGATGGTACAAGGCCAAAGTGTGAACCAAAAAAATGTCTAATCTGTCGGTAACGATGGTACTCACGAAGAGGGACATCAAAAAGCACGCGTAGCATATCAAAGGTAATATAAGATCCTACTCTTTGAAAATCAGATAATCTGATAAAAGAGCGATCATACCACCAACGAAACGTTTGAGGGGAGCCTATTCAGTATTTTTACACAATTTACATAGCGGACAGGGGCAGACCCATGATAGTTCTATGCACAGCCCAAATGTAAACTGACTTATGTTTCATTTACATCAGGCTACCTCTGATCTGTCATATTTAGGTATGGAAAAACAGAAAAGGATCCAATTTTCCAGACCCAGATGGACTCAAAGGTAGGTGGATATAGGTGGGTTCATTTTCATCAGCTTGGCAATAGACCCAGCATGGAGCTGAAAATCGGACAGTCAGACCTGATCAGAAAGCCCATGTGAAAGGGCCTTTGGTCACAAGACCTGGTTCTAATAGGATACCAATAAGATGTGTTCAAATTTTATTTTTCCAGCATGAATGTGCAGCTTAAAAATCTGCAGAAATTGTGTGATGCAAACATGCCAGCCTCGGCCAGACTCACAAATGAATGTTTATGGAATGTAAAATTCATGTCATGAAGAATTAAGTTTTGAGAGCAAAGTGAATGAATGGCGTTTACCTGCACATAAATGCACAGTGAATTTTCACAAATGTGAAAGTGGAGCAGGCAGGTAAATATGCCTTATATGCATGGGTTGGTAAATGCCAAAGCAGAACTGTCTTTCATATGAGCATGACCATGTACAGCCATTCATTTGTATGAGCAGCTGTACACAGCACCTGTGGCTCTCTGGGAGTGTGAAAGTGCCCTGTCATGGTGTGGGAGGGCTAAGCGGTACTCCAGGTCCTCATCCACACAGGTTGAGTGGCTCCAGGATGCATGCTTGAAATAGAGAAAACGGTTTTGTTCAATGACCTCTGGATTAGTAAGTCCTGGCATAGGTCCTGGACCTGGATCTTAGAGACTTGGAAGGGATGAAATCTCCAATCGTGGGGCCACATTTTGCCAGCCATCAACACACTGATTGTGCATGTGTGTGCAGGGCTTATATGTATACATTGACTGTAGTTCAGAGACAAGAGCATAAGCGTGAGGGCCAGAGGGCCCAGAGCAATGCTCCTGCAAAGGCAGGACGCAGAGAAATACTTTTCTGTTTCTGAGAGCTATTCTTAAAAAAAAAGTTAAAAAAAATCCCTAAAATAACAATATGGTGAGTGGACGGCATCCTTGGAAGCACTACACTTGAGCCAATTACTATATATATATATATATATATATATATATACACACACACAGTATTGTGCAAACGCTTTAGATAGGTGTGGAAAAAATGCTGTAAATTATGAATCCTTTAAGAAATAGAAGTGTTAATAGTTTATTTTTAGCAATTAACAAAATGGAAAGTAAATAAACAGAAGATAAATCTAAATCAGATACATATTTGGTGTGACCACCCTTTGCCTTCAAAACAGCAACAATTCTTTTAGGTACACTTGTCACAGTTTTTGAAGGAACTCGACAAGATGTTCCAAACATTTTAAGAACTAACCACAGGTCTTCAGTGGATGTAGTCTGCCTCAAATCCTTCTGTCCCTTCATGTACAGTGGGGCAAAAAAGTATTTAGTCAGCCACCAATTGTGCAAGTTCTCCCACTTAAAAAGATGAGAGAGGCCTGTAATTGGCATCATAGGGAGACCTCAACTATGAGAGACAAAATGAGAAAAAAAATCCAGACAATCACATTGGCTGATTTGGAAAGAATTTATTTGCAAATTATGGTGGAAAATAAGTATTTGGTCAATATCAAAAGTTCACCTCAATACTTTGTTATATATCCTTTGTTGGCAATGACAGAGGTCAGACGTTTCCTGTAAGACTTCACAAGGTTGGCACACACTGTTGCTGGTATGTTGGCCCATTCCTCCATGCAGATCTCCTCTAGAGCAGTGATGTTTTGGGGCTGTCTCTGGGCAACATGGACTTTCAACTCCCTCCAAAGGTTTTCTATGGGGTTGAGATCTGGAGACTGGCTAGGCCACTCCAGGACCTTGAAATGCTTCTTACGAAGCCACTCCTTCATTGCCCGGGCAGTATGTTTGGGATCATTGTCATGTTGGAAGACCCAGCCACGTTTCATCTCCAATGCCCTTGCTGATGGAAGGAGGTTTGCACTCAAAATCTCACGATACATGGCCCCATTCATTCTGTCCTGTACATGGATCAGTCGTCCTGGTCCCTTTGCAGGGAAACAGCCCCAAAGGTTGATGTTGCCACCCCCATGCTTCACAGTAGGTATGGTGTTCTTTGGATGCAACTCAGCATTCTCTCTCCTCCAAACACGATGAGAGTTGTATTTCTACCAAACAGTTCTATTTTTGGTTTCATCTGACCATATGACATTCTCCCAATCCTCTTCTGGATCATCCAAATGCTCTCTAGCAAACTTCAGACGGGCCCGGACATGTACTGGCTTAAGCAGGGGGACACGTTACTGATGGTAGCCTTTCTTACGTTGGTCCCAGCTCTCTGCAGGTCATTCACTAGGTCCCCCCGTGTGGTCCTGGGATTTTTGCTCACCGTTCTTGTGATCATTTTGACCCCACGGGGTGAGATCTTGCGTGAAGCCACGGATCGAGGGAGATTATCAGTGGTCTTGTATGTCTTCCATTTTCTAATTATTGCTCCCACAGTTGATTTGTTCACACCAAGCTGCTTGCCTATTGCAGATTCAGTCTTCCCAGCCTGGTGCAGGTCTACAATTTTGTTTTTGGTGTCCTTGGACAGCTCTTTGGTCTTCATAACATGTTCAAACAGGTGCCATTGATACAGGTAATGAGTGCAGGACAGAGGAGCCTCTTAAAGAAGAAGGTACAGGTCTGTGAGAGCCAGAAATCTTGCTTGTTTGTAGGTGACCAAATACTTATTTTCCACCATAATTTGCAAATAAATTCTTTCCAAATCAGCCAATGTGATTGTCTGGATTTTGTTTTCTCATTTTGTCTCTCATAGTTGAGGTCTCCCTATGATGCCAATTACAGGCCTCTCTCATCTTTTTAAGTGGGAGAACTTGCACAATTGGTGGCTGACTAAATACTTTTTTGCCCCACTGTAATCCCAGACAAACTCAAGGATGTTGAGATCAGGGCTCTGTGGGAGCCAAACTATCACTTCCAGAACTCCTTGTTCTTCTTTATGCTGAAAATGGACTTTAATGACATTGACTTGCTGTAGAATAAATTTGGGGCCAATCACATACCTCATTGAGGGTATGCTAGTATTTCTCAGCATTGAGGACACCATTGATCCTGACCAAATCTCCAACTCCATTTTCAGAAATGCAGCCCCAAACTTGAAAGGATCCTCTACCATGCCACTGTTTCCTGCAGGCACTCATTATTGTACCGCTCTCCAGCCCTTCGGCAAACAAACTGCCACCTTTTAAGTTTTGACTCATCAGTCCAGAACACCTGCTGCCATTTTTTTGCAGCCCAGTTCCAATGTTTTCATGTATCATTGAATCACTTAGCCTTTCCACATCAGAGGAATGGCTTTTTGGCCACAATTCTTCCATGAAGACCACTTCTGGACAGACTTCTCCAGACAGTAGTTTTGTATTCCACAGGTTTCCAACAATTCTGTGCTGATGGCACTACTGAACATCTTTCAGTGTTGAAGGGAAGTAAGTATGATTTGTCTTCATCTACTGGACTCCTGGACCAACCACTGCCTCTACAGTCCCCAAATGTTGCCCATTATTTTGTGCTTCTTCAAAAGAGCTTGAACAGCACATCTTGAAACCCCAGTCTGCTTTGAAATCTTTGCCTGGGAGAGACCTTGCTGATGCAATATAACTACCTTGTGTCTTGTTGCTGTGCTAAGTCTTGCCATGGTATATGACCTGTGACTTGAAACTGTCTTGCACAACCATAGCTGTTTCTGTTTCAGCTAATGATTGTGTTTCAACCTACATATGACATTGATGATCATTAGGACCTGTTTGCCATAATTAATTAGATACTAATCCTACAAAATCCTTGACTTTGTGTAAGTGTACAAAGTGTGCAAGTATAAGAATTGATGCTGGTTTGAAGGCAAAGAGTAGTCATTTTTCTTCTGTTCGCCAAATATTGATTTGATTGAGCACAGATATATATATATATATATATAGTCATGGCCAAAAATATTGGCACCTCTGCAGTTCTGTCAGGTAATGCACCAATTTGCCCAGAAAACTGTTGCAATTACAAATGTTTAGGCATTCCCATGGTTTTTATTTCTTCTGTTTGCATTGGTATGACACAACAAAAGTGGAGAAATAAAAATCCAAATCTGACACATTCCATGCAAAACCCCAAAAATGGACTGGACAAAATTATTGGCACTCTCAATTTATTACTGGAATTTTGGACCACTCTTTTGCCAACTGCTCCAGGTCTCTCAGACTGAAAGGGTTCCTTTTCCCAACTTCTGTTTTAAGATTTCTCCACAGGTGCTCTATGGGATTGAGATCTGAACTCATTGCTGGCCAGTTCAGTATTTTCTTTCTTAAATCATTTCTGGGTGCTTTTTGACATGTGCTTTGGGTCATTTATCCTGCTGTAAGACCCATGACCTCTGACGGAGACCCAACTATCTAACACTGAACCCTATTGTTGCACCCCCAAAATTCTTTGGTAGTCTTCAGATTGTATAATGCCTTGCAGACGGTCAAGACATCCAGTGCCTGAAGCAGCAAAGCAACCGAAAACATTACCCCACCACCATGTTTGACTGTAGGGACTGGATTATTTTCTTTAAAGGCCTCATTGCTTTTTCTGAAAACATTAGAATGATGGGCTTTACAAAACAATCTGTAATTTTTTTTCATCTCCAAAGCTCATTCTCCCAAAAGGATTTTGGCTTCCTCGGGTACGCTTTGGCAAACTCCAATCTGGCTTTTTTATGTTTTTTTATTTGTCAGCAGTGGGGTCCTCCTGGGTCTCCTCCATAGTTTTTCTTTTCATTCAGATGGTGACGTGTAGTGCGAGTTGACACAATTGTACCCTGCGCCTGAAGGTCAGCTTGAATTTATGTGGAAGTTGACCTAGGTTTTTTTATCCACCACTTGAACAATCCTTCATTGCAATCTTTGATCAAGTTTTTCTCTTTTGTACATGTCCAGGGAGATTAGCTACAGTGCCATGGGCTGCAAACCTCTTAACAATGCTGCACACAGTGGACACAGTAACATTAAGATCTGTTAATTGATACAGGTGAGTTTAATTACAAATTACAGGAACATCACAAACTTGGAATTAAATTATTTCTTACAATTTTGAAAATGTGCCATCATTTTGTCCAGTCCATTTTTGGACAATGTCAGATTTGACCTTTTGTTTCTCCTCTTTTTTGTGTTATACCTATACAAACAAAAGAAATAAACATGGGAATACCTAAACATTTGTAATTGCAACGATTTTCTGGGTGAAGTAGTGCATTATCTAACAGAAATGCAGGGGTGACAATATTTTTGGTCATGACTATATATATATATATATATATATATATATATATATATATCAGTTAGTATAGAGTGAGAGATAATGTATATGTTGAAACAGAAAAATATTTACCTTTTTCCAGTAGTATTTCAGGAGCAACATATGTTGGTGTTCCACACACAGTGAAAATAGGCTCTGTCACATATACAGCAAGCCCAAAGTCAGCTAGTTTCAGAGTGGCAGATCCATCAGGATTTTTCTGCACCTGAGAAAAAAAAAAATCACTTGGGATATATGCAGATTTATCTGTTTATGAAATAAATATTTAGTGCAAGCTTATTTTTCCTGTAAATATTCAAAGTGGGCAGCACAGTGGCTTAGTGGTTAGCACTTCTGCCTTGCTGTAATTAGGTCATGGGTTCAATTCCCAACCATGGAGCCTCCTGCATGGAGTTTGCATGTTCTCCCTGTGGTCATGTGGGTTTCCTCCAGGTACTCCGGTTTCCACCCACACTCCAAAGACATGCTGGTAGGTTAATTGGCTCCTGTCTAAATTGTCCTAGTTTCACCCCCGACTGAATAAATATAGACAGCACTAGACAACAAAATTTAGTAAATAATAATATAAACCCAAATTAATCAATAAACCAGCTGCAAAGTCTACCCTTTGTGAAGGTATATACAAATGTGAATAAATAAGACTGCGCTAGTAACAGGTCAAAAACACAATATATACCATAACATAAAAAAAAAATATTAAATCATATTAATCCCAGAAAAAAATATATAAATATATAAAAATTAAAGTCCCAAAATATAAATCAATATTAAAAAGTTCTCAAAAAATATGTGGTAGTGAAAAATTCTAGATGCAAAAAAACTTTTCTTTTTGAAATAAAATCCACCAAGTGAACCCACCACAAAATTAACTGAATAAACTCACCAGAGCAATATGCTGATTATTTTATAAACCAGCATAAGTGCTTTTTTTCTCTGGGAGCAACGATCTACAGACAGTTGAGACACAGCCAAGGCTTGGAAGAGATGATTTCCTAAAGCAATACTCTGCAGGAGACTCTGAAGATTAAAGTGGATCTTCAGAGTCTCATATTCATATCGAATATAAGAGTGCTACTAATGCAGGCCATAGATGGGGAGAAAACCGGCCGATTTTTCTTTAAAAAATGAAAAATCGGTCGTTCAAGCGGCCGACGTTACCAGGAACGGTAAAAAAAAATCAGCCGATTTTCATCCCGTCTACAGCCGGCAAAAAGTGTCCCTGCAGAGAGCTCAGCTATTTCTTTGACAGTTCTTTGACATTTATAGCGGTTGCAACAATGTATCTATTTGTAGCCATTTCGGATACAGATGTTTTTATTCGGAAACAAATAGATACATTGTTGCAACCGCTATAAATGTCAAAGAACTGTCAAAAGAAATAGCGGAGCTCTCTGCAGGGACACTTTTTGCAGGACTGGAATTCTTCATCCTCTTCATCCTCTTCTTCTTCTTATTCATCCTCTTCATCCTCTTCCTCATCCTCCTCCTCTTCTTCTTCATCCTCCTCTTCTTCTTCATCCTCCTCTTCTACTTCTTCATCCTCCTCTTCTTCTTCTTCTTCATCCTCCTCTTCATCTTCTTCTTCATCCTCCTCTTCATCTTCTTCTTCATCCTCCTCTTCATCTTCTTCTTCATCCTCTTCTTCTTCTTCATCCTCTTCTTCTTCTTCATCCTCTTCTTCTTCTTCTTCATCCTCTTCTTCTTCTTCATCTTCTTCTTCTTCTTCATCCTCTCCTCTTCTTCTTGTCTTCCTCTTGCAGGTCACTGCTCATGCGCAGATTTTTTTTATCGGGAAAAAGATCGGCCGATTTTCCCATAATTGCCACAAAAATCAGCCGATCGGCAAAATCGGCTGATCTTTTTCCAACTTAAAAAATCTTCCAACTTCAAAAAAAAATCTGCCAAAATACCGTAAAACGGCCAAACAATTAGCCCACTAGCGATCCGAAAATCGGCCGATTTTCGACCCATCTATGGCCTGCATAAGTGTACAAAAATTCTCATATGATCTAGTACAACTTTCCAGCATACCAGCGTGTAATCGGAAGTGATGTTGTGTACGTGTAACCCCTCTGGAGATAATGACTAAATCGTAGCAATAAGATTATCACTCCATTATTGCTATTATACATATTTCTATCCTGAAAACAATATCATTTTCATATTTAGGAGCATTTTCATTGTAAATGAAGATTGCTTTTGTTGCCCTTCCAGGTTATTTTCAATTTTCTGATCATGCACGGTTTTGGTCACGCGATTGTTTACAGACAAATATTGTATTGATAAAACAAACATTATTTGTTCTTTTATCTTACAAGAAAAATGTTCATGCTTGCCCCTTTGGATAATTTTGCATGAACTGTTGTGACCGCCTCTTGAAAAGCTGTGTACTGACGATCAGATTATCACATGATCTTAGTGTGTGTACCAGGCATTACAATAAGTTTAAGGCAGTGGTCTCCAAATTGTGGCCAGTGGGCCATATGCTGCTCTTTGTTTGGTTCTTGAGGCACTATTCCTCCCATTGATACCAACAGTGGGACTTATTCCTCCCACTGACATCAACAATGGAGCACTAGTCCTCCCACTCACATTAACGATGGGACACCATCCCACCCACTGACACTAACAATGGGGCACTGTTCCTCACACTGACACCAACAAAAGGGCACAATTCTACTTACAGGTACCAATGATGGGGCACTATTCCTTCCATAAATACCAACGATGGGGCTCTACCACCAATGATGGGGCACTGTTCCTCCCACTGACACCAAAAATGTGCACTATTTCACCCACTGACACCAACAATAGGGTACTGTTCCTTGCACTGGCAACAACAATGGGGCACTATCCCTCCCACTAATACCAATGGTGGCGCACTATTCTTTCTTCAACTGACCACAGACTCTGTAATTTTTTTACTACCATTGACCAAAAAGTCTGAGACATTGTTTACTCCCACTGACTGTCTCCCCCCCCCCCGCCCCCCCCATCCTCTCCATCACTACTACAACGCCACCATCTCTCCCACCCCACACGCCAAAGTCCTGGGTGTCACCCTGGACTCCCACCTCTCCTTCCTACCCCACATCCAACTGCTATGTAGATCTTGCAGGCTCCACCTCCGCAACATCTCCAAGATACGCACATTCCTCACCCCAGACACCACCAAACAACTCGTACACTCCCTCATCATCTAACGCCTGGACTATTGCAACTCCTTTCTCACTGGCCTACCCAAACGAACGCTATCCCCATTCCAGTCGATCCTACATTCAGCGGCCAGACTCATCCACCTCACTAAGCGCTCCACATCTGCCTCCCCCCTCTGCCAATCCCTTCATTGGCTCCCGATTGCCCAACGCATCAAGTTCAAGCTGCTAACCCTGACCTACAAGGCCACTCACAATGCCGCCCCGAACTACATAACTGACCTTATACCCAGATACTACCCTACCCGTGCCCTCCGCTCCTCACAGGACCTCCTACTCTTTAGCTCCCTGGTCTCCTCCTCCCACGCCCGATTGCAGGACTTCTCTAGACCTCCCCCATCCTCTGGAACTCCCTACCCCAATCCATCAGAATGTCACCTACCCTCCTCACCTTCAGGCGCACCCTGAAAACCCTCCTCTTCAGGGAAGCCTACCCCAACCTCACCTAACACCCGACCTCACCTAACAATTAACCTCCTCCACTCCACCCACCACTCCATCCCCCACATCCATCTCCTCCTGTGCCACCTTCCCCTCCCTCCTAGATTGTAAGCTCGAAAGAGCAGGGCCCTCAAACCCCTCGTGTAGTGTATTGTTACTGTCTTGTCTCATGTTATGTCCCCCTTGCTACTGTACAGCGCTGAGCATACCCTTTGGCGCTATATAAATACTGTATAATAATAATAATAACTGACCTCAAGGCATTTTCTACTCCCACAGTTTGGCTCCCCTGATGTCTGAAGGACAGTAGACTGGTTCTTTGTTTAGAAAGTTTGGAGACCCCTGGTTTAGGGAGATGAGAAAGCACCATTGTATCTGCAGATAGAACCTGCATGCAGAACCCCTTTATCAAGCAAATTATAGAAGCTTAGATTTATATTCTTCCTAAGCTGCACTAAATATGACATGCCTGTTCTGCTTACATTACTTCCACTACATGGTAACTTACTGAACCATAATACACTGTTTTACTGAATGTTATCATTTAATACAGCCTCACACTAGCAAATAAATATGCCTTTTCATATTATCCATAAAACAAAGAACTCACCAACAGGTTCTCGGGCTTGAGGTCCCTGTGTACGATATTCTTGCTGTGGATATACACTAAAGCCTTGCATAAGTCAGACATCATAAGTGCTGCATCATGTTCAGTAAATTTAATGCTTTCAGTAATAGCATCAAATAAATCCCCCCCTTTAATGTACTCCAATATCAAATAAATTTCATTATCAGTCTCAAAATCATCAATAAGTTTTACTATATTTGGGTGGGAAAGCATTTTTATTATGCCAACTTCATTTTTAATGATATCTTCTTTACCTATTAGTTTAGCCTTATCAATAATTTTCATGGCATACTCTTCATTCGTTTTTCGAAGTCTACACTCTTTGACAACTGCAAAATTTCCATCTCCAATAGTCCTGCCAATCTCATAATGTATTTGTATATCCAGATGGTCTTTTACACAATGTGTTCTGGTAGTGCTCAACACGGCCTTTTCATCTTCTCTTCTTGGTAGTCCACCTTCCACCTTTTGTTCTTTTGAGTCAATATTGTTCATTATGTCCTTTTTATTGTTGGATTCATTGTCCTCCACTATTCTGTCTACTTTTCGTATGTTTTCTTTTGTGTCTTCCAGGAAATCCTCAATAAGCCTACCACTATGTTTTAATGTTAAGCAGTTGGAATGCTTCCCATCCCATTTTCTTCTGTCTCTTTGGCATTTATTTTTAAAACACTCATGCCTTTGCATACTATGGCTGTGTATTCTGGAATGAGGATAGTGTGTTTTCTCATACAGTTCTATGCTGCTGTCCCCCATCTCCTCTACTTCATTGACATCTCTCTTGCTTCTACATCTGTTATGGCAGTTTGTACGTGTTAGCATTGGCCTTTCTTCCTTATAGCTTCCAAATGGTATTTTCTTATGCTTTTCATTCAAAGCAGCATTGCCTGATGATGTATCTGTGTTCATTTCAGTGTACAGTCCATGCCTAATTGTATACTCTTTGCATTGCTCACATTGGTTGGCACAAACTAAACTTGAAGTCAAGAGTTTATTTGGTTTGCAGTGGCAAAGTTCAAGTTTTTTCATTTTTTCAGACAAATTTTCTTGATGATTTTTGATCTTTTCTTGTTTTTTGCTTTTCCTTGTTACGTCTGGCTTTTGTTTGACACGACACTTTACATCATGTTTGGTTGTCAGTCTTGGAGACATAGTATCGCCTTTGTTGACCAAGTCTGTGTCTTCATAGCCACTGTCGATAGTTTGTCCATTTTCATTTAATTTGCATCTATGTCTTTCATAATGATCTGGGTGCTTTGTTAAATGCCTATCAGGATAAAGTTCATTAAACACAACTTCAATGCATTTCATGGTCAGCTGTTCCTTACCCAAAGCTATAAAAATGTCATCCCCGCGAAAGAAATCACACACACTACGTATTTCTTTGCCTTTCATGTTATACAGTTTTCTTACATGGTCATTTTTCCACCTAGGCAATCCCAGGCCTTCAGATATATCAGCAATAAGCTGCTCAAAGGTCTGCACTGACCTTCTATTCAACAGCAAAGTGATTTTCTTCAGAGGGTGATTTCCTGGCTTAACTACTGTCACAATTCTTGGTTTTACAGGACTGTTTTCTGAATGTATTGTGTGAAAACCATTTCGAGAGTGGAAATACGGCGATGTATAGCTGTTCAGTCCATGGAATGGTTTCCCATGTGCTGCATGGCCTATAGGTGGACATGTGACTTGGTGTTTCCTGTCTGTAGACCTTGAAGTTATATTGTTATATAAATGATGAAACAATGTTTGATGACCTGAAATAATGCAAACAAATATAAGTTAAATAAAAATGAAAATTGTAAAATAGACATATCTATAATAAATATATAAAATTATAAAATAGTTAAATACAAACTATAAACAAAAAATAATAATCTTCCTTAAAAAGTTAAAGTGGTTCTAAAGGCAAAAGCTTTTTTACCGTACTGCATTCTATGCATTAAGGTAAAAAAACCTAATGGGTGTCGCTTCCCCCTCAGCCCCTGTTTATACTTACCTGAGCCCCATCCTGATCCAGTGATGTGCAGGAGAGCTGGGTCTCTCCTGGATCTTCCTCTCCTCATTGACTCACACAGTAGCAGGACCCATTGACTTCTGCTGCTGTGAATCACAGCCAGTGAGCCAATGAGGAGAGAGCAGGGGGGCGGGGCGGGGCTGAGCCACGCTCTGTGTGTCCATTCAGAAGAGCGTGGCTTGGGAACAAGCCTGTTCGAGTGCCCCCATAGCAAGAGGTTTGCGATCGGGGGCACTCAGCATGGGGAGGAGGACTGCCTGCAGGGGACCAAAAAGAAGAGGATCAGGCTGCTCTGTGCAAAACCATTGCACAGAGCAGGTAATTATAACATGTTTGTTATTTTTTTTTCAATTAAGCCTCTACAATCACTTTACCTTGCACATACCAAGGTAAACACCAAGCAATCAGTTAAATACACAAATTAAATATTTCTCTCCAGCCATTCCTGAGTTTTACACATTCCTATCAGACAACACAGATATGTTGATGTCCTGGTGTTTTAAAAGCAATACAGTCTGGTCAACTGGACAATGAAGGAGCTGCGCTGGACTGATGAGGTCATTTTTCTGCTCTCTCTTGCAATTACCACGCTCCCTGTCAGCCTATGTTCGCACACCACACCTAAGAATCAGAGAGAAAGCCAAATTCAGATACTTACACTAGTTGCATCTAAAAATAAATGATATACATAACTGCATTAATATGTGTTATTTTATTGTGCATAATCAGGGGTTCATCATTACAATATGTTTTTTACTGCAGCTAGTACTAATGTCAGTACTAAAGTCTTAGTTCAAAATATTTTCACTACAGAGGCTTCACTTGGCCCCTAAATATGCCTGAACTCTACATACTACTTCAATACCTTTGTCCTTTCCCAGTTAAATACAATTACCTTTGTAAAAGCCCATTCTGTCAAGTGTTATAGGCTCATGTAGTCATTTTTGGTCACTTTACCATACAGTAGTATCATTCTCATCAGATCATTCTTGAAAAATCACTATTCAAGTGCTTTTGTCAGAGCTCCACGTATGACCAGAGGTGTGTGGACTGACACAGGGAAATGCAGGCTTCAGATATGATATAAACAATATAATTTATTGAGACTAACAATACAAAACGCAGTGCAAAACTAAACATAAACACAATGCAAACAAACCAAACCAAACCACCCACAGATAACAATACATACAATGCAAGAGTCGTCAGGCAGGCCGGGTCAGTAGCAAACGGGCAAACGGAGTACCAGGAACAGGCGGAAGAGTGGCCGGGGTCACAAGCTGGGTTCAGTAACTCACGGGCAGCGTGGTACAGAGGGTCAGGCAGAGAATGGTCAGGTTCACAAGCCAGGGATCAAGCAGGAGAAGTCAGCGGGGGTCAGGATCAGGCAGGGTCGGCAACAAGTCAGACAGGAACAGGAATACAGGATACAAGATACAGGGGCCCATGGAAAAACACACACCAAGGCCTTGACTGTGAGTCTGGCCATTCCTTAAATACAACCCTTGCAATCAGCTTCAGGTGTTTGGCTGATTGCAGGGGTGAGTCTCTGATTGCTGAGAGCACCCGCTGGCCAGCCCTGGTACTGCAGCCCCCAAGGCAGGTGAGTCCCACCATTATTGGCAAGTCCATTCCTGACAGCTTTATAGCTTTCATTTTCCATCCAGGGGACTGTACCCTAGTGACTCCTATTGTAACTACCATTGTAACTGGTCCCTTCATACCCCCATGTAGTTCAAGTGGCTCTTTGGTTGATGGCATAATCTAAGCTAAGGAACAGTGGGTAGACAGATGCCAGCAGTGTGTAAGTAATGTGGGCTGTGACAGCGGACACAGACCAGCCCAAGTAACGCCTAACCAGAAAACTAACATCCCACTGCACCATGGGTTGTGTAGTTTCCTGATGCTGAAGGGGGAATGATATGTGATATAAATTATTGCCCACCCACATAGAACTGCGAGAGAAGAAGGAAATAAGGATTTGGAAAAAAAATCACTGATACATATACAGTATATCCATATTTTATTGGCTTTGGATGACTAAATGGGATCATAATTACAAACAGGGGACCAACAGGAAAAGTTAAGTTTTCTGAAAGGTATCCTGGAGTTTGGCTTTAAAACAGAAAATGTTCACAATCTACCATCAAACTGAAATACTAAAATAATCTGTTATAATTAGAGATGAGCGAATTATTCAAAAATTTGATTCGGCTGATTCGCCGAATTTCAGGAAGAAATTCGATTCGATGCGAATTAATTCGCTACGAAGTTAACTTATAAAAAGGGTTTCTAGGCTTCAGAGAGCCTTTAAATTAGTGCAGAACACTGTACCTTTAACTTAAATGCCCTTGGAGATGAGGAAGGAGAAGGAGAAGGAGAAGGATGAGAAGAAGGAGAAGGAGAAGGATGAGAAGAAGGAGAAGGATGAGAAGAAGGAGAAGGATGAGAAGAAGGAGAAGGATGAGAAGAAGGAGAAGGATGAGAAGAAGGAGAAGGAGAAGGATGAGAAGAAGGAGAAGGATGAGAAGATGGAGAAGGAGAAGGATGAGAAGAAGGAGAAGGATGAGAAGAAGGAGAAGGAGAAGGATGAGAAGAAGGAGAAGGATGAGAAGAAGGAGAAGGATGAGAAGAAGGATGAGAAGAAGGAGAAGGATGAGAAGAAGGATGAGAAGAAGGAGAAGGATGAGAAGAAGGATGAGAAGAAGGAGAAGGATGAGAAGAAGGAGAAGGAGAAGGATGAGAAGAAGGAGAAGGATGAGAAGAAGGATGAGAAGAAGGAGAAGGATGAGAAGAAAGGAGAAGGATGAGAAGAAGGAGAAGGAGAAGGATGAGAAGAAGGAGAAGGATGAGAAGAAGGAGAAGGAGAAGGAGAAGGATGAGAAGAAGGATGAGAAGAAGGAGAAGGATGAGAAGAAGAAGGATGAGAAGAAGGAGAAGGATGAGAAGAAGGAGAAGGAGAAGGATGAGAAGAAGGAGAAGGATGAGAAGAGGAGAAGGATGAGAGAAGGATGAGAAGAAGGATGAGAAGAAGGAGAAGGATGAGAAGAAGGACAGTTCTGTGACAGTTTCTGTCTATTTCTGACAGTTCTGTGACATTCACTCCATACAGCGGTTGAAACATTGTATCTATTTGTTTCCATAAATGGATCCATTTATGGAAACAAATAGATACAATGTTTCAACCGCTGTATGAGTGAATGTCACAGAACTGTCAGAAATAGCGGAGCTCTGCAGATACACTTTTTGCCGGCTTGGAATTATTCTTATTTTCATCCTACTTCTTCTTCTTCTTCTTCATCCTCATCCTATTCTTCTTCTTCTGAGGATGAGGATGAGGATGAAGAAGAAGAAGAAGTAGGATGAAAATAAGATTAATTCCAAGCCGGCAAAAAGTGTATCTGCAGAGCTCCTCTAAGTGTATCTGCAGAATAGAGGAGCTCTGCAGATACACTTTTTGCCGGCTTGGAATTATTCTTATTTTCATCCTACTTCTTCTTCTTCTTCTTCTTCTTCATCCTCATCCTCAGAAGAAGAAGAAGAGGATGAGGATGAAGAAGAAGAAGGAGAAGAAGAAGTAGGATGAAAATAAGAATAATTCCAAGCCGGCAAAAAGTGTATCTGCAGAGCTCCTCTATTCTGCAGATACACTTAGAGGAGCTCTGCAGATACACTTTTTGCCGGTTTGGAATTCTTCTTATTTTCATCCTACTTCTTCTTCTTCTTCTTCCTCATCATCCTCAGAAGAAGAAGAAGAGGATGAGGATGAGGATGAAGAAGAAGAAGAAGAAGAAGTAGGATGAAAATAAGATTAATTCCAAGCCGGCAAAAAGTGTATCTGCAGAGCTCCTCTAAGTGTATCTGCAGAATAGAGGAGCTCTGCAGATACACTTTTTGCCGGCTTGGAATTATTCTTATTTTCATCCTACTTCTTCTTCTTCTTCTTCATCCTCATCCTCTTCTTCTTCTTCTGAGGATGAGGATGAGGATGAAGAAGAAGAAGTAGGATGAAAATAAGAATTCCAAACCGGCAAAAAGTGTATGTGCAGAGTTCCTCTATTTCTGACAGTTCTCTGACAGCTTCTTCACATGTACAGCGGTTGAAACATCTGTATCCTAAATGGAAACTAATAGATACAATGTTTTTCAACCGCTGTACATGTGAAGGAACTGTCAGAGAAATGTCAGAAATAGCGGAGCTCTCTGCAGGGACACTTTTGCCGGCTGATCGGGAAAAATCCGATTCGCGCACCCGAAGTAGGCAAATATTCGGATTCGACGCGAATCAAATTTTTCCTGAAATTCGTATCGAATTCCACTTCGCCTGGTTCGATTCGCTCATCTCTAATTATAATGCATACACTTAAACCGAGAACTACAAACAATGTTACTTCTCACTGTCTGCATAGAATTTATCCTAGAATCTGAATTAGGTTCGAGGGTATCTATGACAAGTAACATTAACACAAAACACTTTGTCCTTGCTCCTCTCTGCTTGGAGATATGCATGTCTGATCCATGTGCTCCTAATGAACAAGTTTTAAATACTGATGTTACTTTGCTTAAGTTGCACACATTCTTCCATTATGTGCAAGGTGTAATCTACATCAGGTAATGTAAGATCAGTAATGACACTGGTGGTTTTAATGTAAATAATTAACAGTGCTAGTGAAGTGCAAGAGAATGGTATAACTAGGGCTGAACTCAATACGAAAATGATCTGTACTGTAACTAAACTCT